CTCTGTAATATTATATACCAGTTAAACATTTAACGAATATTACTGAGATATTCGTTAAACATTTAACGACTGCCTCTGTAACATTATATAACAGTTAAACATTTAACGAATATCTCAGTAATATTATATAACAGTTAAACATTTAACGAATATCTCTGTAATATTATATAACAGTTAAACATTTAACGACGGCCTCTGTAATATTATATAACAGTTAAACATGTAACGACGGCCTCTGTAATATTATCTAACCGTTGAACATTTAAAGAAGGTTTCTGTGATATTTTAAAGCCGTTGAACAATTCTTGTTATATCATGTTCTAAGATTTAACGACGGTTTCCGAAATATTTCATAAACGTTTAACAATTGTTTTTATATTTGTTTTGTTCTTACATTACACGACAGTATTTGTAATATATATTTTTTAACCATTAAACAATTATTTCTTTAAGATGAACTTACAATAAAAGACATCCATATTACCAGTTAAATGTTATACCATTGCGCCACTCTCTCTATGTATGTTACAGCACTGATTGGCTACGCATTCCCCGAAAATCCAGAAGCAGCTTTTGTCAATCTGAGGATGTTTGAAGCCCTTGGGTGTTCCGTAGCCTACCTGTATAGTAACTCTGTGTGTGTGTATGTTAAACTCATGGTCGGAGGTCTCCTCCATGTCTCTTTCGTCCTCGTCATAGTCGTGGAAGTTACGTAGGAGGCCGCCTAGGTATCGCAAGTTAGAACAATAAGCCAGGAGGATACGTCACCAGATGTTGCTTGTATTAGAAAGACGCTGGTTGTAGTCATGGGAACGACGAAATGTGCGTAAAGTTCCATTGAATCCTGCAATGGTCAAGTTCACTGGTTGTGAATTCGTTTGGGCTTGAGACATTTATTATAAGATGGATATCAGTTCATATTGAACTAGTCTTTAAAACCAATTATATTCCTCATCTAGAATAACTTTGTGTTGTATCTTTGAGCAAGATACTTTACTTCGCTTGTTCCAGTCGACTCAGCTGTAAATAATTACGTCGTTGGGCAACGATAGAATTGTAGAGTGCTAGCTGTGAGCGCCGAAATGGCAGCACAACGAAGGTTGAATACCGGGTGTGATATGGAAAAATGCATGCTTTATTCTGTTTATTACATACTTACTTATAAAAGCTACTATCTTATGATATATTTTTCTTTTGAAATTTTGAAAAACGAAAAAATACCAAAAGGGGTGTGATACGGGTTTTTCGGGCTAATACGGGTTTTGGGGTGTGATACGGCGGGGGCTGATACGGCTTTTGGGGTGTGATACGGCGAGGGCTGATATGGGTAAGAGCAATTGTGTCGTATTGCATATACAAAAAAAACGTATTTATTAGTAAGTATGTAATAAATTCCATTCACACATGAGTTACTATGTATAGGACACATCTATCTAGAATATCATAATACTTCGAACAGTGCCCGAAGTTGTAGATCAACTGTGATATTTAAAATTAATAAGCGATGGAGGCAGACATGTCACTACAGAGAAAAGGTAAATAAACGATGTTTCACGTGTACTAGAGCCTGGTTCTGAGATGACCATAATTGTCATATTATACGATGATGTAAATATTTAAAGCTGAGTATTATATATGCATGTTTTACAAAAATAATCATGCAAAGTAACCTATCTGACATCAGAGCAGCTGTTCTCATACCACGCGATAAGCAAAAGAACAGGCCCGGAAGACCAATGCACATTGATATAAACAAGCATTTCATAATTAATTTTCCTTGCAAAACGAAACACTGGTGTCGATTCTTAAAATGTGATTGAAATATATATAAAAAAAGTAAATCAAATAAATTCTGCTTATTTCTCAATATCCCCCCTACGAAAGATAGGAACATCAGACAAATAAACACAATTACATTGTTTTAAAATATGAGTTACAATGCGTGACCATTTGTCATTTTTCGTTTTCTCGATATAAAGTTCACGTTATCTCAAATTGTTACATCCTATTGATGACTAGATGGAATGGGAATCAGTGTTTAGCACTTATAATGTACATCCCCCATATGAAACCAAACATTTGCACCCCGTCCTCATCCGTTGTTTGGTTAGGATGTTGAATTGGAAAATTGTAACGAGTACTGTTAGATACTAGTAATTAATGTTAAAACTGTGTCACCCTTTTCCAATTTGAAGACTAAATACTAGAACTAGAAAAAATGTCTGAAAACATGCACATTGACAAGAATGAAAACTAATAGTTTTGATTCCCTAATGTTGGTAGGCCTATTTAATGAATCAATTTTCAAAGAACTTGAAAACAAATGCATTATCTTATCTATTGTTTGTATTTGCTTCCTTGCGATACTGCGGATCTGATGCTGAATTTAGGGTACTGTCTCACTGAAATACTATGCCGAAGGCACCCAGCAAATCATTTCATCCGGTCACATGATACTGACAACGGACAAACCAGTTGTTGTCATTAACCTAAATGCTGAACGTCAGCAAGGAATAACAACTACCCATATTACTGACTCTGGTATGTGCTGGCCTGGGAACAGAAATCATTGCCATCCTCATTTGGGCGAACCTTCAACGCTAAACGGCCAAACGGGAAGTATCGCAAAGCAATGCGCTAGGTAATGAAAAGGCTGTTATAATGTAGGAAGTAGAAAGAAAATATAAATATCCCAATTATTTCAACGGGTCCAGCAGATTGATTTGATTTGGTCGTTGTTCTGCCCTCATGAAGAAGACTAACAAAATCCAATTTCTGTAGGGTGTTTCAACATTAGTTGCCTCTTACTACAAGGGGATACCAGCTGGTGTGTTCTGTTATCAATCCCTGCCTGCAGAGGTGTAGCTTGGTCCCTGTTAATTCAGGTGTTATGCATATATTCAGTTTATTTCTTTCCAAAATTTTAATTGTTCGAAAAATAAAAAAATAAATAAATAGGAATATCGCCGTATTTTTGCGTTGCCACTTTTATGATCGAATTGAAATTAAGCGTACATCTTTACAAAATGACTATTTCGGCTCTTACTCAAATACTACATATGTTTACTTCCCTTTAGACGTAAGCACAGACAATGCGAGTTGATAAGGTCAATGCATGTGTAGTCTTCACCAAGAGTTTTAGCTGATAAGTCAGTGAGGTATGTGTTCTGTAAGATAAAGATAGGATTGAACAATTCAACTCGACCAGTTGGACATCTACATATTAAGTGCCCCTTATTTAAGTAAGGTAGGTGTCACTTATACATAAGTTTGCTTTTTATCAGGCACTCTTATATGACTTTACATAATAAAAATGTCAGCATTCCAGAATCGGATGTTTCCTGCTGTGATTTTTCTTAACGTTCAACAAGCCCCCTTAATAGTTACACTAAATGTCAACCCCTGGTAAGTCATATTCAAATACCCTTATACAAAATCGGAATACATATATGTAATTTAAATATATTGAACTTGTACATGACCTGTTAAAATGTACATAACCAGGTTAATGTAGTCAATAATGAAGCATTAAGGCCGATGTCTTCATAAAAATAGCTCACCGAACTTATAACATGTCGAACTCTTTAGCGACCCACTGAATGCTACGAAATAACATTTCATTTAAAATTAATTTGTGTACCTAGGTCACGCGGATCTTAATTTCTCTTTAATTAGGTGTAGAAGGGCATACTGGTCTCAAATGTAGATTATTGTTGCTATGGAAATGTACAAAAATCATTGTAAAACGTCCGACTAACATATTTTACTTGTGCAAAATCATAGACATTGTGCTCAAACTTCATATAAAGTCTCTTTTCTTAACATTTAATGTTATTATAATAAAGCTTAACTTGTTATAAACATTATCGTACTTTTCAGCTAAAATGTTTATAACATGTCTCGCGCATTCATTACATCACAAAATGTTCTCAAATGGCATATCATCTAAAGTTCATTGTTATCTTATTTATAATCTGCTAAAATATATTACCAGGGGATTTTACTATGATTTTAGTGGATTCGCATGGCAACGTGGATACTTATTCAAGGTCAGAAATCCTATCAACAGCTTGTAGTAGAGAATAAAGGACCGAATGACCTAGGTATACAAATGAACTGTAAATTATGGGTCATTTCTTTGCACTCAGTTGGGTCGTTAAAGATATTGACATGCTATACGATCAGCTTTAATGCCCTTTTTTTCGACTACGTTAACCTAGCTATGTATTTTTTGTATTGCCTATGTTAAAGTTCAATATATACAAATTACAAATATAAGTTCCGAATTTTAATTGACTTCTTTGAATACGACAAATCATGGGGTTGAAATTTTAGGTGACTGCAGCATTTTTTAGGGGGCGTGTTGAACCTTAATATACATTGGAAAATACCTTCTTCATTTCTCTTCTCCTTTTTCTAACCTTGCATTTTTATGGATCTTCCTAAGACACCTTTTATTAGCTCGTTTTCATATTGTCTTTTCTTTATGTGTATTGCTTAACGGCCAATCGACTTCCGAAGTCATTTAGGGCCAACATATTAAGCATTGAGTGACATGGTATACGTATCGTATGCAGGTTGTCATATTTCAGTGATGTGATTCATAAAAGTGGCCCTCTATTGGTCCATCATCAGTAGAAACCGTTAAAAAATACTTAAAAAAGAAACTTAAAAAAAAACATTTCATGTCTTATACTTTTTCTCCAATCTACAAAAGCTTATATATTTTGTTTAATTTGTGAGTTGCATCAAAATCTTGGAACATAGTAAAATTGGTAGTTAAAATGATAACTGAACAATTACAGACGGTAGACGGACGTGATGTCATGCACCGATGTTCATTGTATCAATTATATGCTGGTTTGTACATTCCATAAAACTTTTGTCACGAATACCTTGATAACCGTTGACTGTTATCGGCGTGTGTGACAATATGTACATACATATCGTCGCTACAGACAAGTGCGTTATGTTAACACGTTATTATATAATACATGTAGGTCGACCTAGTAGCTGACTGTGTATGTGTATGGAAATGCGTTAAAGGCATGAAGCAATTACAGTTTTATCCTCCTTGAATTACAAATTTCATAAAAAGACACTAGCAAAACTATTGATGTGAACTCGAGCTACCATGACAAGAACCAATGAGTTGACTTATTGACATACTTCCTCGTGTGTCACACGTGACGAACTGTGTAGAGGCTTTACTATCTTGTGGCCCGATAGCGTTGTTCTGAGTTTGTAAACTAAAGACACTGCGTAAACTGTCCGTGAAATGAGAAGGTAAGTCATTTCATACTGCAACTTATTCTTATAACACTACCAATGTTAAAGTCATTGTTCACGAATCAAAGGGGAACGCACTATTTCTTATATTATTTTGTTTTCCTGTCACATGGCGCACAGTTCCAATATGTTTAGTTTCTCTTTGCTAGAAGCATACCCTAGACCTTGCGGTGCACACTCACAGCAGTCTTAACCCAGAGGTGAGCTGATAACAGCCATAGTGAGGTCGGTATGCACCTGTATGTGTGCTTAAACATAAAACTGATGTCTTGATACACATTTTCATCTCGCCTTTTTTTCTTTTAAGATACTGACTTTATATATTCAATTACAATCATTGATATATTTAATGACAATCATTTATCTAATGTCAGAATGATACAATACATAACCACCATTTATTGGCATGATAATGGTTAACCTAAAGATGTAATATCAACATATTATGATAGGTTATTGTTATTTACATCTAGACCTGAACAAGATGAACAGATGCATGTGTTCAGTGAAGATTAACTGTCGTTTAAACCATTGCTTGTTTGTGTATCGGACACTGTAAATAGGGCTGAGGACACTGTAAGTAGGACTGATGACACTGTAAGTAGGGCTGGGGACACTGTAAATAGGGCTGAGGACACTGTAAATAGGACCGAGGACACTGTAAATAGGACTGAGGACACTGTAAATATGACTGAGGACACTGTAAATAGGACTGAGGACACTGTAAATATGACTGAGGACACTGTAAATAGGCTGCGGACACTGTAAATAGGACTTAGGACACTGTAAATAGGACTGATGACACTGTAAATAGGCTGCGGACACTGTAAATAAGACTGAGGACACTGGAAATAGGACTGGGGACACTGGAAATAGGACTGAGGGCACTGTAAATAGGACTGGGGACACTGTAAATAGGACTGAGGACACTGGAAATAGGACTGATGACATTGTAAATAGGCTGCGGACACTGTAAATAAGACTGAGGACACTGGAAATAGGACTGAGGACACAGTAAATGAGACTGAGGACACTGTAAATAGGCTGCGGACACTGTAAATGAGTCTGAGGACACTGGAAATAGGACTGAGGACACTGGAAATAGGACTGAGGACACTGTAAATAGGCTGCGGACACTGTAAATAAGACTGAGGACACTGTAAATAGGACTGATGACATTGTAAATAGGACTGAGGACACAGTAAATAGGACTGAGGATGGCGTTTTTTTAAGGCTCGCTCATCCCGTTGACAGCATATCTGATTTTGCTTTTGTTCTGATATTGATTTACAGTCATATGGAATTAAATTTTAACCAAACAACATTATAACAAGAGGCTGAAGAACCATTACTTATGATTGGGTGGAACCATGAAATAATCATTTGTTGGTTAGAACCATGAAATAATCATTTGTTGGTTAGAACCATGAAATATTTATTTGTTGGTTAGAACCATAAATAATCATTTGTTGGTTAGACCCATGAAATATTCATTTGTTGGTTAGAACCATGAAATATTCATTTGTTGGTTAGAACCATTAACTGATTATTTGATGGTTAGAACCATGAACTGATTATTTGATGGTTAGAACCATGAACTGATTATTTGATGGTTAGAACCATGAACTGATCACTTGTTGGTTCAAAACATGAACTGTTCATTTGTTGGTTAGACACATGAACTGTTCATTTGTTGGTTAGAAACATGAACTGTTCATTTGTCGGTTAGACACATGAACTGTTCACTTGTTTGTTAGAAACATGAACTGTTCTTTTGTTGGTTAGAAACATGAACTGATCTTTTGTTAGTTAGAAACTTGAACTGATATTTTGTTGGTTAGAAACATGAACTGATCTTTTTGTTGGTTAGAAACATGAAATGATCATTTCTTGGCTAGAATCATGATTATCTGAAGCAAAGTTTCAATGGAATGCATTTCAAGTTTGTAGTCATGGCGACTGTATCAGGATTAAAATCTCTATTGAAAAATACTTCGTCTGGATTATACACAAATATCTAACACCCTCATTACTATTGAATATTAGCAAATTCAATTAATTTGAGTTGAGGTTCAAAATAGATGTTCAAGCGGAATCTTTGGCGACCATGTTTGATTTCAAGTATGCTCACAGCTAACCAAAATGGTTTTGACCATACATTGACCTTTTTCATCACATTTCCTTGAACATCTAATTATAAGGACATCAGTAGAACTACTCTAGAATCTTAATAAACACATTTTTATCGCATTACCCTTCTAATAGCTTAACCAGTCCTTAACAAAATTTCTTACTGTCTTGGGTTTTGCGCAATAAATGCTTGCACCGTATTCGCCTTTTACAAGATGCAGTGATTACAGCAGGTATATTTTCTCAATCCCCGAAAAATCACCAGATATATGCATTTAGAAGGACATATGCGCACATTAATGTTTACAACACCTTGTTCACTTCTACTGTGACCAAAGGGAAGGAACTCTTTTGATGCACTTACGTCACCAGTGACCACGTAGTTGGTATTCCAGCGACACTGTTAAGAAGTCAAAGGCTTTGCATAGCAGAGATCACAGGAACCTAATATAGTGGAAAGTTGAAAGTAAACTATAAAACATCGGATAGCCATGAAGCCCATTTAGGACACATCAGTGGTACTTTTGTTCAAACGAGCGAAAGTTTATTTCTAATTGCGTGTAGACATGAAGCGAAAAGGGACAGCTAATATCATAAATATACAAAATGATTATGAATTCAATCTACAGAAAGATACATTAACTGGTTAAAGAGAATTCTGGTCTTTTGGAGCATTGCTCATTTTCACAACCAAATGTTATATATATGTGTGAATAATTATTGAACATGAGGAACGCAATCACATTGGTCGGTTGGTAAGGGATAGAATGGATTAATAAAAACAGTTATATATATCCGCTTTATTAGAATATTTAAGACCTACGTCGTTATTTGGTTTTGTCCATATACATTAGAAATGATACAATAAAATGCATAAGCCCCAAACGTTCGATAATGAGATATACGGCCCACCCACTATCTCGCTGGTTATTAAAATGTTTTCTTTCTATTTTGACAGGTGACGAGGTGATAATCCCTGTTTAGCGCTTGTAAATTACGTAGACGGCGGAGGCAATCTATATCTATATATAGATATAACATCGATATACAGGTAGGTCAAAGTTCATCTGCATTTGCTTTTGAAATGAAATCACTTTAGTACAGTTAAACCGTTTTGAAACAATTATAAATGTTGATGACAATACCGATCACACCCAAAATAGCCAGAGAAATTAGCTTAAACCTTAACCTAGGTAAAACAAGTTAAGATGTCTACTCTGGATGCTCATCCTTTACATTGCTGTCTAAATGTTAGTCCTTGTTACATCTGTCTGTGTTGTGTCAGCTTGTGCCTTATTCAGACTCGGTGTTAATTAGTGGTGGTACAACCATAGTAACGACGAGAGTTGTCAGTTTCCTACAGTGCTCGTGTTCGGTGGATGTGTCATGTTCCCCGAAGTAAGTTATAATAAAGAGACAGTTTGATATTTGTGGCATTATCAAGAAAATAAGGTAAACATCGTGGTGTTCTCCAGATGCCAGCTCTGTCGTTTGTCAGTAAGTACGTGTGACAAAGAAGCTATTTGATAGGCATGTCTTTCACCAACAAGTGGGTGAAAAATGAAATGAAATAAAAAAAAACAGCTTTGTAGATGGTGCGCCATATTACATTAAGCATGATAAATGGAAGAGACTGGTATAAATGAAGTAATTCCTGCTAAGTAAGAACTCTGTGTTTTTTCGTTGGATAATTCAGAACATGGCGTATATTCACTGACACCGTAGGAACTGTGTATTTCCTCCGATATTCCTTTCCACGGGACTTCGCTATACTGTTTGGTAAGAAGGTTTGTACTTATTATTATTTTATTGATTTTTACGTATATGCTAAGCAGGTAAGTGAATGAGCATCATCACGTTTTATCAAATCAATTTAGATTTATATGTATTCACATATTACGGATGGCCAAGCAATCGTGCCGTATCAGTGCCCTTTCTATTCTTGCAATTTTCGTTGGGTTTTTTTACAACCACAACAGAAAATGTTATTCGTTTTATTATCTATATAATAATTAATGTGAATAAATTATTTCATATCTTGTAGATAATCTGGAAAGAAATTCCTTCAACTAACCATGAAAACAAGACAGACCACAATCGTGATGGCAGTTTCAATCAGCCTAAATATCGGCTTAATGTGCTACGTATACCTCAAATCTAAAACACCGGTTAATCAAGACATTGGATTGCGTACCATGGCAGAGACATTTGGAAAGAAAGAATTGCCAATCGACTCTTCACATGACAAGTTTTTAATGGGTCTTCATCCAGTCACATTGTCACAAACACATGCAAGGAACGGTGCAAATATATATACTAAAGATATAGATAATAAAAAGTCGCATACTCTTCCAGTAAAGCATGTTAATCCGACAACATCACATGATCCAAAACGTTCTGTTTATAACTGGAATGGTCATACATGGAAAGAAAATAAAACTGTCTGTGAGAATCTCCCTTCGTTCCGTGAAGGCACCCTCCGAACACGATCGGGGGACACTCCTATCTTTGTCCATGAGCCGTCGGTAGATAAATACATCTCGCAAAACATTTTGATCTCTGGAACTTGGGAACGTGATGTAGCCTTAGCTGTTGTGTCTTACCTTCAAGCTGATAAAGATCTTCAATTTGTTGACATAGGTGCAAATATCGGAGTCATTTCATTGGAAATCGCCAAACTTGGTCGCCGGGTTGTATCGGTGGAACCCTTAATAGATAACGTCCAGCGATTATGTTCTTCATATAACGCAGGTCATTTTCCTGCAGATCTCACAATTGTGTTCAATGCAATATCGGACATCCACGAACAGGTTGCTCTGGGGCGCGACCAGAACAATATCGGGGGCACATTTGTGTTAAACAACAACCCTAACAAACGGAATGGATCTGACGTGATTTTGATAGGACAGTACCGCGAATTAGTCAACACTATCCTGTTGAATGACTTACTGTCTTTGCTATCCTCTAACCCTCTTACCAAGGTTGTTATCAAACTGGACGTGGAGGGATACGAGGATCATGTGCTGAATGGTGCCGATGAATTCTTCCGTCAGGTTGACGTGCAAACAGTCATAATGGAATGGACATATAGTAAACAGCCCGGTACAGCAGAGACTATCCAGTCGTTTATGAGTATGCATAGCATGTTCCCGTACGACTTTAATAACGGGCCGCTTGAAAACCTACCACGTGCAAAATGGCCTCCTAATGTAGCCTGGTTAAAGCAATCACGAACTCCATGATATATAATTGTTCACGTAATATGTAGAAAAATATGGTAGAAAAATCGATGGAGCATTCATGTTATATGTACACACTATACTACAGACGGCATAAAGTGTTACAAACAGAGGTATTTATGTGATAAAGAGAGGGCTACCGACAAGAAATTATTGCATATCATTTGTAACAAAAAAGGTCAGTCTATTCTCAAGTTTAATCTATCAGTAACGTGTGAGATAATCTTATTACATTTGTTCATAGCCAAATAATGAAGCGTGTCGTCCAGGGTAACACCCCGTATCTCCGCAATGTCTTAATGCAGAAATAGTTTTGTCGGTGAAAGTAATAAATACTAATATACAAATGAGTTGTTTTCCTTAATAATGAAAGGTTTTTACTTGTTTAATTGATCATTTTATCTTAAAAATGTTAAATGACTATATAGGATAACGTCATATACCGCAACGTTTGGCGCGGATTTTTTTTTAATTCTAACCTCTGATTGGTTAAAGTAGCTTGGCGATGAAAATACAGAGAAGGATCTTGTGCTTTTTTTTTTAACAGAGATAAACAAATAATCATTTAAAATGAACTTAAAAGTGAAAAACGTCATTTAGAATTCAGAAATTATCAATAACCGGGACTAATGTTGGTGTTTAAACGGTATATACAGAGAAAATGTTGGCAGTCAAGTGCATAATAAAATCGAGGATTTATGCAAAATACACAATCATTTCTGATATAATTTAGGTTTATTGTATAACCCACATTATGTAAAGTTGAACATGGATGTAGGACTTATCTCCCTTCCATCAAAGGCAGGTGTACTACCTAGATGATAGGCATGTCGGAATGTTCTCGATTTACGTCATTGTCAAGATGTAACACAATACGAGTGACAAGGGTTGATGGTTGGTTAAATGTTTATTCTGGTAACATCAAGTATTAGGATCGGTCTCTATCATTTGGTCTCGCTCTCAGTCGTCTCCGAGCTGTCTCTACCTGTACTAGTTCTAGCCCATCTCTAGCCGTCCCTAGCCTTCTGGCCTCTTCTCTAGCTGTCCTTTGCTCTTCTCTCTCCTTATCCCCCTCCTGGGTTATATTTATACTCGATTATAATCTATTGTTTCGTGCATAGTAATCTGGATTAATATTCCAGATATACGTAATATTTACACAAGTTGCCCGAGCTATTCCCGATATACGACATCAAGTACCGTCAAGGGTTCATAAGCCTCACATAGCAGGTCAGTTGAGACTTGATCCCGATGTAATCAATTACGCAACGTCGTAACAGCAACTGTAAAAGGTCCATAAACCTTACAGATGGTCAGTGTCAGTAAACCCTACAGATGGTCAGTTTACACCACGACAATGGGATGTTTCGTCAAGTCTTATTTTCAAGGTCTTCTATTTCAGTCGGAAAAAGTCTACTAGAGGGTACATGCAATCATTTACAACATTTCAACAAATTCAAATTACTACAACAAGTTGTGTTTCCACTTATAATATATTCATACAATCACTTCTGTGATATCATTAAAAGAATCATCAATAGACGATAGCATTATCATAAAAGGTCCACACGATTATAGGAATATATTTACATTTGCATGGCATTGTCACTATCGCCTCTTTGAAAGCTGTGTCGTTGATGGGACTTTAATTACCATGCATCACGAGACACAATTCATAGCGTTTTAACATGACGGCTGCTGAAATATTGCTGGGCATTGTGAGATTTGACAATGCCATTGTAAAGAGATATGGCGGGTTGCTATACCTATTTCCCCAAAGCTATGTTACGCTAGTGCGCGCACCAACCCTGCACTGTTATGACGCGTCCTCAGGTATTTTTATACAGGTAGCAATATCGGAATCCCGTGTCTAAGAATAAATTATTGTAAACAGACCTCATATTTGGTATTTCGGCATTATTTGTTGGTGTTTAAGCACTTGATATAATTACTATTGCCAGTTGGAGGGTAAAACAATTCATAAATTTCATCAAAAATAGTGTCTTATCTACAAAGCGTAGCTGTACTGTACACTGTACAGGGGTTTGTTGACATGCTTCGATAGAAGTATGTCGCACTAAATAGTAAAGAAATTATTAGTAACAAAACTGATAAATCAATAGGTATGTTATTAAAATGTAAACAAAATCTTCCATCGATTTAAAAAAAAACCACCATTGCCTTATTTAGGAAAATGATCACATGCCTAAATATTTAAAAAAAAATAACTGAAGGAGGATTCGAACCTCCACCGTTTATTTTCTAGTAGCAAGTAAACTGCGTTATACATTCGGCTACATAGAACATATAGATACTGGCAATTACAAACTTATTTAACCCGAGAAACACCGGTCGCAGTTTAGAGAAACTTGATCACCCCTGTTTTTCATTATTTTGAGCCTTTCCCAAAGGAGGACCACTTTTCCGTAAAACGATTTGTTTTTGCATATTACATCACGGTAACAAAAAGTTTATTCAAAAGTTGGGAAAGTGTTGAAAGTATTTTTTAAGTCCGGGAAACCCCTCACTTTCATAGATATAGTGTATATGGCTATATTTGCAGTATCATATTAGCAATACCTAATTTCTGAGCAGTTTAAAAATTCATATTCAATTGGTTTTGTATCTTTTGTATGCATTTTTGCTACACGAAATGTTTTTCTCCTTAATTTTTTCCCCGTTTTCATAAATGCCGACTTAGGAAAATACGGGCAGTTTTCCGCCATACCTCTTTATGTGCAAAATAAAAAATAAAATAAAAACACTTTTATTGCAACGAAAACAAGACCAATGTCTGCAATATCGTACAAAATGCACATCGGTTTAAATCACCAATGCCGGCAATGGAAACAATTTTAACGCTCATGCAATTTATCAGAAATATCGTCTGTTACACTGCACTGATCAACAGGGGTTCGTTACAAATGTCTGAAATACACATATTACATAGACCTACTGACACATATGTTACAGACCTACTGATATGAGTCACAGCACACATAAATATTTCAGACATTTGTAACGAACCTGTGCTCCGTCGCAATATCATTCACTTCAAACGCTGCTGAATACGCTGTTCAAACTATTTAACGAAACTGTGTGAAATGTCGATAAGGCGGTCATTTTTGATTTTAGATATAAATTATAAGTTAAAAAAGAACATAAGAGTCAGAGAAAACGTAAATATAAGTATTGAACTGGTTTTGTATGGTACTTATGATCTATTTGAATGACACAGCTTTGCAAGCAAACAAATCATAATGCGCTAGCTGCGCGCTAGCGCATTATGTTGTTTGCTTGCAAAGCTGTGGCATTCAAATAGATCATAAATACCATACAAAAACAGTTCAATGCTTAAATATACAAGTCAGTTGGCCATCTGACAAAATAAGTTCACATAACAATGTTCCATCACCACATAACTGATAATCATCATGTCATATAAGATACGTTACGTCTGACAGAACTAATCTAAGACATGCATTTTTGTATACATATATCCTGTGTTAGCGCTCCTCAGAAGATATGTAGATCAGCTACTGCTATTCATTGCCGCAACGTAAATGAAAACAAATCCATTCAATTCATATATTTACGTTACGATGAACAACAATAAAAATGTTGTAACTTTTTGTAAATTTAATATTTTTGATATCAGTATCGGACAGAAAACCATAAAAAATGAACAGCCAGAACTCCAGCCTACACACAAACTTCAAAGGTTCGACATGCGCCGATCAGCTGATTTGTTCAAACGAAAAAAACCACTATAATCTCATAATAAACAACGCTTGGTATTTCCTTTCATTTTTGAAAGTTGATCTTATTTCATGGTTTTTTTTGCATTTAACGCCGCAAATTACATATTTAGTAAAAGTTTATGTCCGCACTATTTCAAACAACGGTCTCCATAGTAACTATCCAGGGCATTCGTCGGCCAAGCATTTAAAGTTGAATGTAAATCCGTGGGAATGTGCTGTTTGCCTGAAATCCTGCTGAGGTAAATGAAGATAACTTGGTGGAGGAAGTGCCCTGTGTCATTACAAAGTTCTCGGATGTACTAGTTGATGTCACGGGGACTACCCAGCCAGACGTTTGGGAGTTCGAAAGTTCGTGACCACGATCGCGAGGAACCGATGGCGAGTCGCCATTACTGTACACATTATGATTATGTCCCGCGATGGAGTAGCCAAGATAGTGTGAGGCACTTGTGATACCCGTAAGTGTTCTGGTTACCGTCTGAGTGCATAGATAGTGGTTGAATAGTTTTTCAGCGACCGAATCCGGTTTCATATATCAACAATTGAAGCCAGTGCAATACATGCGTTTTGTTGGGGCTTCACTAGAGGAAAACCCACCCTGATATTTTTTTTGTTTTGTGTGATGATTGATTGTTGCATAGCTCGTCTGAAATAAATTCAAAAGAATTAACTCGCAGCTGTTCGTGGAACTTAAGTCCCCTGGTCACAAAATGGATAGCCAGGTTGTACCATACGTTCTGTCGGAGGATGTAAGGGGACGGTAAATCATTAATTCGGAAGCCTCAGTTTCGTATTTCTTAACCGGAAATGAAGTATGTGAATCTCTACCCGGAGTTGTCGTTCCTTTTCAATCACACACAATTAATTAAATCATTAAAGGGAGAGCAAGGACCGTAACTCTGCGTGGAGATTGCAAATATACGTCTGGTTATAGTGGTATTAACATTATTTTAAAAGGTTAAGCATTATAAAGTAGATGGGGGTAAGTGGTGGAGAAAGGGATGTTCCTATGTATTTCATAACTGAACGAAAACGATCCTACTACATGTATAACTTACAATTTAGTCATTAAAATGTTTTATCTAGATTTCTTCATAGATTTCCTACATAAATGTTTTAAAAGTAATTTGATAAAATTGTATTATTACCCGTTCAAATTCATAGACAGGTTATGGACATTTATAAATTGTTTCAGACTGGTTATAAATTTGTATCAACTGTAACAAACATATTAGGAACATTTATTAATTGTTTCAGGCTGCTTAGGTAGCAGTATACAGTAGAGGGTTGTGGCCATGGGTGATCTTTTTGTTAAATGACTAACCCCTGTATAATGATATGTAAAAAAATTATAAAAATAAAACTGTACTAAAATTGGTATTAGCATGATGAAGTGGGCTATGTGAGCTTCACATTTGTAAAAAAGAAAGAAGATTTTTTTGGTTCGAGAATAAAATTTTGGCCATAATCCGAAAGGGTGCGTACACATGAAAAGCTAGCTTTACAGGAGGTTAAAATTTTGACAACAAGCAAAGTTGCAAAAAATCAAGTTTTACAACTTTACTGGGACCCAGATAATTCTGCAACCAGGTAGGTAATCTTTAATTTCAGACAGAGCTTAGGAAAAAAAATGCTTGCTGCGGGGGTCAAATTTTGGGTT